ATTCTGAGCGAGGGCAAAGGGCACAGGTGGGATTCCTGGGTCTGGGCCTCTGAGCTGGGAGCCGGACCTCAGACCGTGCAGGCCGGTCCCTTCCTTGTAGGCTCAGGGTCACCACCTGCAGCGGCCCTGGCCCGCCCGGTCATGTGGACTGAGACAGGAGCAGAGCCAGGCCTCCAGGGAGGGCCAGGTTTCCAGCCCAGTGTGGGCCTGTGGTAGGAAACCCTGACTCGGGAGGTGGAGGCGCCAGGGGCAGGGAGCCAGGAGCCGGGAGATTGGCATCTCGGGTGGTGGGGATGTGAGAAGCTCTGAGGTCTGGTTCACAGCCCCAGGGATGCTGACTGGGGCTCGGAAGGCGTCAACTCCAGGCGGGACGTGGGCCCGCGGAGGCAGGGGCCTCACCTGGCAGCTCACTCAGCAAGACCCAGGCCAGGCAGGACCCCGCGGGGCCCCCCGGTCACAGGCGTTGCTCCCAGGCCCTGCACCAAGAGATGGTGCTGCTCTGGGCCAGGTTCTGGGGAAGCAGACGTGGCCTGCTCTGCGGGTCCTCCAAGCCGGTGGCCAAAAATGGGGCTGGGCAGGGAGGGAGGCCTGGGAGGCTTCCTGGAGGGGGCAGTGACTAGGGAGTCCTGAGGATGAGGCTGAGTCAGCCAGTGGACAGGAGAGCCTGGGGTCAGCTGAGACCAAGGCCTGGAGGCAGGAGGGCACCTGCATTCTGGGGCTCCGTCTGCGTTTGCCTGTGTGGACAGGGCCACCAGGGCCGAGGGCTCTGGGCGTCACGATGAACCTAGGGTGGGGAGCCCAGTGCAGCAGCAGCTCTACCAGGCCCACGGCGGGTGCTGTGGAGGGACCTGCTGGAGGGGTCAGATGCAACACCCGGGGCCTCACAGGGGGTCCAGGCCAGCTCCCTGGAGGAGACCCAGCACTAGCCTGGATCTGTGGCTCAGCAGAGGTGGGGGGCGGGTGCCCCTGAGGGGTGCACCATGATTTAGGGGGCACACACTTGGGCTGGCTGTTTCAGGGAGCCCAAGTGGAGGCTACACCCCGAAGACCGAAGATGTTGAAGGCCAGGCTGCAACATTCTGAGGGGCTTCCGGCAGCCCTTGCCCCCAGAGACTCCTTGCCCACCCCCTGCTCTCCTGCTGGGGTGTGCTGTGCCCACTGCGGCTTCTTTCAGCCATGTGGGAGGGCCCCTGTGAGTCATTCACACTGCAGTGCGAATTAGCCCATCCAAGCGGGCTCGATGGGTACAGTCCCTTCACAGCACCCGCCTGTGGGCTGGCAGGATGCATGAAAGCAGCAAGGGTCCTGGCGCGTTCCAAGAATGTGGGGGCGCTGCAGGGAGCTGGGCTCACAGCCCGAAGGTGGACAGAGTGGAGCTCTCTAGGGGACGTTGGGGGACCGGGGTCATCCCAGGGACCCTGTGGACTCCTGAGGGCAGCATGGCCTGTGCCCTGAGTGAAGTGGGAGCTTGGAGGGCTTTCAGCAGCCGGCCTGGCACTGGCAGCAGCCTCAGGGGCCAGGGGACGCCCAGGGTGGGCGAGTGCCCAGGGTGGTGGCCCGGCGCAGGGGGCAGCACAGGGACTCTCGGTGCATGGTGAAAGCAGCGCCGGTCGGGTTGCCACCGGGCCAGCTGTAGGCGCGAGAGGAAGAATGAAGGAGACAGAGGCGGTGCTGCCCAGGCCTAGCTGGGCACCCGCCACACCACAGTGTGTGGGCAGCACAGCGCGCAGGCCCAGCCCAGCCGGTCCCATCCTCCCAGCAACTGGAAACTGGGAGCAGAGCATAACCATGGGGGGAGAGCCAGGCAGCAGGCGGGAGGGCTGTGCGAGGTGGGGGCTGCAGGTCAGCAACAGGCCTCGCTGCAGCAGCCTGGGAGCTGGCCCTGGCCTGTGGCCGGAGGTGGGGCCCACCGGGCTGGGCCTGCCCTGGGAGCTCTGGTCTGAGGCAGGGCTCTGCCCTTCGGAGGCCTGGTCTGAGGGGCTCAGGCTCCCTTCAGCCTCCCCGAATGCAGAGGAAGGCCCCTGTTCTAACCCCTGGGCCCCCTGCTCTTCTGCTCCTGGAAGGAGAGATGGCCCCAGTGCCTCTCTCACCCTGGACCTAGCATGGCAGGGATGATGTCGATGACCCAGATTCCTCGGGCCCGGGGACAGGGTGCTGGCTCTGTGACCCGGACGGTCCAGGTCTTTGAAGCTCAGGCAGGAGGTGGCAAATGGTCTTCCAGATGCCGCGTGGTCACCGTGGGTGAGGAGGGAGCGACCCGCCAGCCACAGAGGTGGGAACAGGTGTCCCCCGTAGCAGGAAGGATTCTGGTCAGTCCTGCAGGTCCCCTGCCCAGGCAGCTCCCAGAGTGGTCAGCAGCTGCCCACCTCCTGGGCTGCCAGCCAGGCCAGCTTGTTCTGGGGACCCGGGGTGGCATATCCTCATGCCCCCCGAGGCCGGAGGCTACAGGCAGACCCTGGCTTGACCTCGACGTCTGGTGGGCAGCTGCCCCTGCTCCCTCCTCCGGGAGGCTGATAAGCCAATTAGTGCCCACAGCAGGAGTCCTGCGGGCTCAGCCACCGGCCTGGGCTGGCGTCCTCCCAGGAGGTGGCCGGCAGCTGTCTGCTCGGCGCCCTGCAGACCCGCCAGTGCCGGCTGGGAACCTGCCAGGCTGTCCGTCCCAGCCAGCCTACTCCCCTCACCCCAGGCCTCAGGGTGCTGCCATCCCCTCCCGGTTCTCCCAGCAACTCTCAGGCTGGAGAGAGACCTGGGTTGCCCCTCCCCAAGGAGCAGGGCCCAAGCTGTGTCAGCAGCTGGATCAGGCATGAGCAGGGCTGAGATTTGAACCCACGACTGGCTGGCCACACGGCCAGTGCTATCCACAGGCTGGTCAGCTTGAGAGAGGGAGGTGCTGGTGGCCAGATGGAATGGCCAGCAGGACTCTTTCTTGGACCGCGCTGTGTTTGGCTGTCTCCTGGCTGTCCCGGTGTCTGGTCAGTGTCTGGTACCTGCAGGGCTGCAGGGGACGCATCCTGGGGCTGAAGGCGCTCCCAGCGGGAGGCGGAGACGAGGGTGGTGGCGCAGGCTGGGGTCGGCCAGGGCTCAGTGCGTTGTGCCTGAGTGGCTGCTGGGGGTAGAGACAGCGGCTGGGTGTGGGGGGACCCGGCTGGACCTGGGGTGTTGCCGGGAGGGCCTGCCAGGGCCCTTTCCTGTTCCTTCCGTTGCCCAGGCCTTGTTTCTGGTTCTGTGGTCAGTGGAGTTTCCCCTTCTCCTGAGAAAGGAAGTGGTGGGGGGAGGGAAGGAGGAACGGAGGGGTCTCTGCTGGGCCCTTAATAAGCTCTAATGGCTGCTCTGGTCTGTGCTGGGTACGTGTCGCCTGCAGGGTGGCAGAGGGGGCTGGGTCCGCACAGGCCACCGAGCTCCAGGGCGCCTCCCCGCGGCCTGCTGGACCTGCCAGGCCTGCTCAGCTGTGTGGCCCTGCGCACCTTGGCTCCTCCTGGGCCAGCAGAGGGGCAGGGGGCCAAGGCTGGGAGGCTCAGACAGAGACATCTCTGGAGCCAGAGGCGGGGGCTCCAGGGCCCCTCTGTGGCCTGAGTCTGCTTCTGCATCCTTGCTGGTGGAAGCCCCTAACATGACTGAGCTTCGAGCCACCCCCCAAACTCTGGCTCCCATGGACTCAGGGGACCATACCCCTGGGGAGAGGGATGTTCCCTCCTCTCATGCACTTCAGAGATAAGCGAACAGGCTGCGAGGTGGATGGGAGGTCTCTGGGGTCCCAGAGCCCTGGCCGAATCAGGGGCTTTGAAGCAGCTCTGCCTTGCTGCCCCCTTGGGCCTCGGTTTTCCACCTGAAATGCAGGGTAGATCCCCTCCCGTGGGGGGAGAACCGAGGGAGAAAAGCGTAAGTGAGGGTGTCTGGCCGACCCAGCTCGTGCCTTCTCCCCGGCCCGAAGCGCAGAGCCAGGGTTGCGTCACACCTCGGACTCAGCAGAGCCCCACCTGCCTGGAGACACCACCCCATACCCAAGCACTGTGCTGAGAGCTCCCGGGGCCGGCCCCCTCCCCACCTTAGAGAAGTCGCCACCTCGGCCCAGACGGGAGGTAGCCGTTCCAGCTGCTTGCAGACTCAGGTGACCGGGCAGAGGCGTCATGGTGTGTCACCGTGCCTGCGTGGGCAGGTCAGGGCTCCTCCGGGTCGGGCCGGGCAGACAGCAGCCCGCCCTAGCCCACTCCTGCACGTGGCTCCTAAGGAGCAGAGTTTCAGTCTTGTCTCTCCCGGCAGCCTAGAGCCCCCCACAGCACAGGCCTGGGGCCCTGGGGGGGACCCTCCGTCGCCACCTTCTGCAGGCCTGGCCCCTGCAGGCTCAGCCCAGGCTGGATGCTCCCAAATTCCTGGATGTGCGCACCGGCCTTGAACGCGGGGCCGGACCGCTAAGGGAGGGTCTGCAGCAGTGCCGGGCAGGTGCACTGAGGCCGTGGGGGCCTGTGTTTCAGCGGAAACCGAACTGTCCGGGCCTGCAGACAGCAGGTGGGCCCTGGGTCAGCCCCAAGCGGCTCCGCTTCTGCTCTGGGAAGGGAAGCCTGTTCCTGGCCTAGAAGAGGAGCTTCAGGCCCCAGGGACTCCAGGGCCTGGGGGCGGTGGGTGTGGGGGATGGGGCGGTCCCAAGGTCACCAGAGCGCCAGCCAGGGGCTGCAGGGGCGGAGGGGCAGGGGCTGCCCACCCCGCCCACGTGCGCCCCACGCCACCCCCACTGCCTGGCTGGCCGCCCCCTCGGCTCAGCTCAGGCTCCGGGCGGTGCTGGGGCGGCGCGGCGGGCGGGGCGCTCCCCGGCTCAGCCCGCGCTCCCGTGAGTCGCTCTCCCGTGGCTCCGCGGCGGCAGCCATGGGGCGCGAGGGTCCGGGGGCCGGCGGCGGGGCGGACGCGCGACCGCGGGCGCAGGTGCCGGTGCGCGCCGGGGCTGGGGCTGGGGCCCGGGGCGGGGCGGGCGGGGGCCGCCGCTCACGCTGCCCTGTCTCCCCCAGACCCGCCTCCCCCGCCCCCCCGCAGCTCGGGCCCTGGTCGTGGCGCGGCTGCCGCACGGTGCCCCTCGACGCCCTCCGGACGCGCTGCCTCTGTGACCGGCTCTCCACCTTCGCCATCTTAGCCCAGCTCAGCGCCGACGCGGTGAGACCCCGGCGGGACGCGAGGGCGGCGGGCGGGGGCGCGGAGGGGGCTTCCGGCCGGACTGTCGCCGCCGGGCGGCGCTCGCGGAGGGCGGGACTGGCGACTGGCGGGAGGGGTCGGTGCGCCCGGCAGCCCCCGGGTCCTGGCCCCAGAGCGAGGGCCTCTGGGGTGTGGGAGGGGGGAGGCGAGTGGGTGCAGTGTGGAGTTGGGGACTGCCGGCCAGAGCAGGGCTGGGGTCCCGGGAGTGTCTGGTGGGTGAGTCTCACCCACTCTCCTCAGAGGCCTGGGACCTTGGAGAGAGCCAGTGCTCGGAGGAGCCAGGCCGGGCACCGGGCTGGGCTGGGAGACGGCAGGGCCTGGCGGGGCCGGGCAGACCCCTTCCCTTGGCCAGCGCGTCCCTCCGTGGCAGGTTCCCACCCTGCCCGGGAGGTACGGGAGGCACTGCCACCTTTTTCAGAGCCCTTCCCCACCCACCCCAAGTGGCCCCTGGCCTGTGGGGGAGGCTGCGCCCGGGTGGGGCCCCAGGGTGGATGGGTGCTGGGTCCAGCCCAGGTCCACAGCCTCTCCAGAAAGGCCCCTCATCTCAGGGGCCTCCTTTTTGTTTGGAGATTCTTGTGGGGGCTGCCAGTTTCTATGGCAACCGCATCTGGGGCCAGCTGGCTGGATGGAGCCTTGGGTGCTGAGTCCAGCCCACTGGGGCTGCTGGGCCCTCTGGCCAGGTCCAAGCTGCCCTCACTGGTCCCAGGAAGACCTGGCCCCGATCACTGGACGCCCCGAGGGAGCGGAGTGTTCGCTCACCAAGCCCCTCGGCCGCGGCCCAGTGTGGGCAGCAGACACAGAAGACAGACGGGAGGGGACGTGGCTCTGCCGGGCGTTGGGGTGGCCTCGTGGGCTTGGCACCGTAGCTCTCCCTTCACGGAGCCCAGGCTCAACATGGGAGAGGGTCCAGGTGTCTCGGAGTGTTCTACCCACTCTTCCCCCCCGGGACACAGGGAGGGAGGGAGGTGTTGTCAGCCACGGTCCCCGCAGGATCAGAGCTGGACGGGACCATAGAGGTCACTGCTACTAAACGCACCGGTTGACAGGCAGGGGAGCCAAGGTTTGGGGAGGGGGTCTTAACCCAAGGTCTTAAGGTGAGGCTGGATGGACAGGGGTCTGCGGTCCTGCCCTGGACCCAGGGTGCCCTCCTCCATCGGGCTGTCCCTGTGACAGGCTGAACCTGCTGGCCCTGCTGGTTCTTAGGTCAGGGCCCCGGGGGCAGCAGCAAGGGCCATCCCCGGGGGCTCCCTGGAAGAGGCAGCTTTCTGCGCAGCTAGTCAGGGTGAAAGCAGCAGTCTACCTGCTCGGGGAACGACCGGGGGGCAGGGGTTTCCTCAGCCCCCTGAGAGGCCGGGGCAGGCAGGCAGCGCCCAGCTGTGGATCCCAGGTGTGACAAGGACGCAGGCCAGGAGGGGTCTGGGCTCGGTGGTGGGGTGGGTGCCCACACGCCCCTGCGCCCCCAGCCCGAGGCCTGCCTGGCGCAGAGGAGGACCCGTTTGGTCTTGACACGCACGCTTCTCCCTTGCGCACAGTGAGTCTGCAGTGGCCTCCGCTCCTCTGAGCTTTGGCTTCCACCCCCGTGGGGGGTGCTGACCCCGTGCTGCTCGTGGGGGGCACAGTGAGGTGCAGACCAGCTGGTGGGGGCTCCTGGAGCAGGGCCCGGCTGCCTCCTTCTCGGGCGGGGGCCGAGCGCGCAGGCCTGGCGCTGAGAGCAATGCTCGGGGAGGGCGGCACTTGGGCGAGTGGGTGGCTGTGCTGGTGCAACTCGGGAGTGAAGGAACTTGATGCCAAGGGGGCCTTTCTAGGAAAAGCCGACCTGTGCCAGGTGCCTTGGAGCGGGAGCAGCCAGGCCCCACCGCCCAGGGCGGCAGGCGGAAGGCGGGGCCGACCGCAGAGGGCCTTGAGGCTCTGTCTGGCGCTGCGTCAGTGGACGAGCTCAGGGGTTTCTGGGGGCAGCCTCGTGCGTGGCGTTGGTGTGCATGGAGGCGGGACTCAGGCTGTGTGTCAGGCACCCCGTCCCTGCGCCCCAGAAGAGGCACCGAGGTCAGGCATGCAGGGCTCACGGCAGCTGTGAAGCCGAGGGCAGGCCGCCTGGCCTCTCTGAGCCTCGGTTTCCTCATCTCTGAGACAGGATGGCAGTCGGGGCCTCACCTGGTTCTGTGACCCCTGAAGGGCATGGGTGTGAGCAGGGAGCGAGTGTGCCAGAGGCCCCGGGGTGGGCTCCAGCCTGCCCGAGCTCCCCTGCCTGCCAGCAGCCTGGCACTGCCTTCCTCTGGCTTTGGGCCAGCTCTAGCTCAGGGGGATGTCACCCCAGAGGTGCCAGGCCGGGAGCGACCGAGAACAAAGGGAGGACCACAGTCATGCACCCCCAGTGCTGTGCTGAGCCCCGAGTGCCTGTGGCTGGGACAGACCCCAGTCTTGGCCTGGTGGGGCAGGGCCTGTGTGGACAGGCCTGAGCAGCCCCTGGGGGGGCTTGCTGCTCTCCCAGAGCACCCTCTCTCCTGGGGGCGGTTCGAGGGCCAGGCGTGCATAGGACGTTTGCAGCGGGGCCCTGAGGGGTGAGCAGGAGTTCACTAGTGAGCTTGGGGCGGATGTGGGGGGCGGTTGTCCAGGGAAGACAAGAAAGGCAAGAAATGGGAGGCAGGGTGGGGTTCAGACGTCAGAGCTGCGCCCGGAAGAGCACAGCCCACTGGGCCCTGGAGGAGCCCCTGCAGGACTGAGGCAGGGTGGCCCAGGAGCGGGGGGGGGAGCGGTCCGGGCTGGGTGCATGGGGGATGGACGAGGGCCCGCCTGCCTCCACCAGCAGGGCCAGCTGGACACTCCGGGTGTGGGTTTCGGTCCGAGTAGGCAGACCAGCATCACAGGGTGGGAGACAGCCTCCAGGGACAAGTTCAAAGCGAGGGCCCAGAGACGCCAGCGGGGTGGGTGCTGTGGGTGGGCCCAGGAGCCAGAGAGGAATGAGGATGGGGGAGTGAAGGGAGACCGGACGGAGGAGCCGGAGCGCCAACTCCCACTGTGCCGCCGCGGGCGTGCTCTGAGTCACATCCGTGAGGGGGCCGGGGCCACCTGCCTCAAGGCTGCGTGGGGGGGGGGGGACGGGGTGAGGTGTTTACAGCACCCGCCACGGCTGGGCGGGCAGCAAACAGCCCGGTTGTCGATGGCGGTGTCCCTGGGTGTGCCTGACCCTGGGTTACACGTGCAACCTGGGCCTAGGCTCCAGGTGACCAGGGTCAGGGCTCAGAGTGTGCTCAGGGTCACGGCCAGCCTGCAATGCAGTGAGGGCATATTTGTTGGGCAGCTGGGAGCCGTGGGCAGGGTCGGAGCGGGGACTGAGGTGGTGCCGGAGGAGGGAAAGCGGTGCGTCTGGGGGCAGAGCGGAAGTGGGCGTCCAGGTGGGGGGTGACCCAGCCCCGTGGACCATGCGGGGAAGCCCAGGCTTCCGGGACACCCTGGAGAGGCTCAGGACGAGGTAGGGGTGCTGAGGACTAGGGCTGTGTGCTCAGGCCGGGCACCGAGATGTCACCTGGGAGAGAAACCGCCGTGGGACGGGCAAGGGCAGAGGGCCGGCTGCGGCGCCACACTCCGCCAGGGCGCTGGACTCCGGCAGGTGGCCGCTCTCTGCGTCACCTGGTACCAGTCTCTCACCCTCAGGTCTCCAGCCCAGCCAGCAAGGCCTGGGGTTTTCTGACACCCTTGCCCACCCGTCCTGTCACCTGTCCCCTTTACATGGTCCAGAGCCTGCCAGGCAGAGAGGAGGAGGGAGCAGGTGGGCAAGCCGGCGGGTGTGTGGCTGCCGGGCCTAATGGGGACAGGGGGAGGCAGATGGCCACGAGCAGGCGGGAGCCGCTCACTCAGCCACCCATGACCCACGTGACTGGCTGTGGGCCAGCCCCGTGTCCTAGAAACATTTGTTGGGGTTACCCTGCCCCCACTTATCACTTTCTCACTGGCCTTCTCCCAGCCATGGGCTGGTTATGGGGTGATGGGGCTCCCACAGAGCCCCCACTTTGGAGCCTAGTCTCTGGTAGACAGTGGCACTGTTCTCGTCCCCGGCAAAGCATGCAGGTGGGGGAGCCGCCCCCCGTCCCCCTGGGGTAACCGGGGGCCTGCCTGGAGGAGGCTTCCTGGCTGAGCCTGGCGGGTCCGCGGCACCTGGTGCGCCCAGGCGATCGGGGGAGCGGATGTGCTGGTGAGCACGGGCCCAGGGCCAGGAGGCAGGTTATGAGGTGTGCCAGGAGTGCGGGTCTGCAGCAGCGCTGGAGCCCCAGGTGGGCGACCTCACACCTCACCTTGACCTCGGAGAGAAGAGGGAGAGGCGGGAGCTCACAGCCGGGTGTCTGGCCCCCCATCCACACTGGCGGGAGCTCAGCGGTCACACCCGTGCCCGGCCCAGGCTGGCGGCAGCTGAGAGGCCGGCAGGCGCTGGGCCTCGTTGGGGGCCAGGGCCCAGGGGTGTCGTGGGCTGGGGCAGAGGGGCCAGGCTGTGCTGGAAGTCAGGACCGGCTGCCCCTGAGTGCCGCGGGGCTGGGCCTGCCCTCTGCTTTCTGCCTGGCCAGGTGGCAGCTAGGACAAACGGCCAATGGGGACCCGGAGGGTGGGGTGCTGAGGCTACCAGTTCAGGGCCAGCTAAGCCCAGAGTCCAGAGCCCCCCTCCCTGGAGCCAGCCAGCTCCCTAGGGGCTAACAGACATTGGTGCTGGAGCTGTGTCCCCAGCGATGGGAAGTTGTCAGCTTCAGGGTGGGGGATCCCCTCCACTTCCGGCCACGCTGTCCCCACCATCTTTCCCAGACCTGAGAGGCAGCAGGCCGGGAGGGGCTGTAGCTGTCTGGGGGCTGGTGCGTCCAGCCCCCCATCGTCCTCCGTAGTGCGCTCTCGGGCCCCGGGCGCTGCGGGACGGTGGGTGGACGGGGAGGGGCCCTTTAGTGGGTATTTGTGAGATTCTCTGGCTGCTGCTCGGAGGAGAGCTCCAGAGGGCTGGAGGGTGGGGGGCGGAGGCAGGAACCCTGCCCGGGGCCGGTCTGCACGTCCGTCCAGCCCCCGCCCTCACTCTGGTCTCCCCTCAAATCCCCAGAACATGGAGAAGGTGGCGGTGCCGTCGGTGACGCTCATCGTGGGCTGCGGCGTGTCCTCCCTGACCCTGCTCATGCTGATCATCATCTACGTCTCCGTGTGGAGGTGGGGTCCCCGTGGGCCGGGCCGGGGACCCGGGGTCCTGGGAAGGGGGCTGTGTCCTGCCTGAGGGTGCCGGTGTCCGGGTGGTCAGCATGCAATGCCCCGCCTCCGGGCCCACGTGCCCTGAGCCCCTGTGGACACGCCCCTCCCAGACCCGGGGGTGGGCGTGGGGCGGCCGCACTGCGGTTTGGAAGGCCGAGCCCGCGACGCTCCAGGCGCCTCCTCCCACAGCTGCCCCAGCCCACTGCCGCCAGGCCTCCACCCTGACGGTCCAGGGGGCAGCGGAAGCCAGGAGCGGGGTCAGGGCCCACCCGAGGCCACCCGTCACAGCAGGCCACATCGCAGCCACCAAAGCTCTGCCCTGTGTCCTCACCTTGCCACCTGCCTGGGTCTCAGCCACCCAGGCCACCGGGGGCACTGAGTGGGAACCCAGAGTAGAACTGTGACAGGTGGCCCACCCTGCGTATGTCAGTCACAGCCCAAGGGACGGCTGCCGTCAGCCTCACCCCGTCTCAGGAGAGAGCGAGGTGTGGAGGGGTTGGGACAGGTTCCCAGGGTCACACAGACACAGGGGGCCTAGGCTCCTCAGCCCCCACGCAGAACCCCTCCACCTTCTTGTCTCAAGGTCAGGATCAGGCTGGGGGACAGGGCCAGGGCAACGGGGTGCTGCTGGGGTGAAGACCGGAGGCGGGACCCTGAGAGGGAGCTCTGTAGCTCTGCCCGGGCTGTCCAGTGGCAGGGAGGGGATTGCGCATGACAAGGAGAAGCAATTTTAAGGATGAGTCACTCCCAGCAGGAGAAGGCAGCTGTATTTAGAGGCTCCCCAGGGCTCTCCCTGGCGCCTGACTGCACTGGAACTTGGTACGTGGTGCAGTAGGCGTGGTGGGGGAGGTGGCGATGGTGAGGATGGTGATGGTGATGGTAGTGATGGTGGTCGTTGTGGTAATGTGGTGATGATGGCGATGGTGGTGGTGTGGTGATGTGGTGATGGTGGTACTTGTGATGGTGGTGATGGTGCCAGCCCCACTGTTTGTGGGAGGCAGCAACCCTACTCGGTGCGGCCACAGAAGCCCAGGTCTTGTGAAGCGAGCCCCTGCCGGGCGCTGACCGGGGGCCCCCCTCCCTGCAGGTACATCCGCTCCGAGCGCTCCGTCATCCTCATCAACTTCTGCCTGTCCATCATCTCCTCCAACGCGCTCATCCTCGTCGGGCAGACCCAGACCAGAAACAAGGTACCGCCCTGGACCTGCCCTGCACATCCCGGTGTCCCTGGGTGGCGTGGGCGAGGGTGGCAAGGGTGACCGCAGCAGGGCCTGGGCCCTGGGGTCCCCAGGAAGCTTAAGGAGGAGGGGACCGGAGCCACTAGCTGTCCTTTCCGCTCCTCCCCTGGCCACGGTGGCCACATGGCGCAGGCCCAGGATGGGGTGGGGCTGTCCCTAGGCCAGGATGGACACTGGTACTCGGTGTCTGGAGTGTCCAGCTGGACAGAAGTTTTGTGATGAGCCAGCTCAGGCCTCTCTCCCAAGCCCACTGCTGGGCACCAGTCTGAGCTTGTCCTTGCCTTATCCTGTGGCCTTGTGGGTGAGCTGCCTTCCCTGGGCCTTGAGGTCAGTACCTCCTGCGTAGGTGGGCTTGAACCAGAGCTCTGCGGTGGGCTCCTGGCCAGCTTTTGGTGTGTCTGTGAATGGGTGGGAGGGGCACCTGTCCCTGGCCATTTGTGGGTTAGGTCACACAAGCACCTGCCGGGGGCTTAGATGTTCCTCAGCCCATCTCAGGGCCATGGACCAGCGACCCCTCAGTGGCTTCCTGCCTGGGGCTGGCCCTGATCACCGCTGCGGTCGCTGGGCCACTCAGGTGGCCGCGGGGCCCACGCAGCCCCCCACCCACACGCCCGCCCGCCCAGGTGGTGTGCACGCTGGTGGCCGCCTTCCTGCACTTCTTCTTCCTGTCCTCCTTCTGCTGGGTGCTCACCGAGGCCTGGCAGTCCTACATGGCCGTGACCGGCCGCCTGCGCAACCGGCTCATCCGCAAGCGCTTCCTCTGCCTGGGCTGGGGTGAGTGCCCGCCCTGCCGCCCCACGCGCCCCGGTGCGCCCGCCCTCCCCCCGGGACCCCTGTTCCCCTCACACGGAGCTGCCAGATAAGTTCTCGACGCCAAGTGGAACTGAACTTCGGGTAACGAATAACATTTTAGTGTAACTATGTTCCATTCGACACAACGTAAACCGAAAGTGTTCCGTCCGACATCCGGAAGTCGGAGGGCCCGGCTGCCCTGCCCCCATTTCCTTACGTCCTCGCCCCATCCCCCTCCTGACCCCTCACCCTCCACCGGAGGGCGTGGTGGCGGGGCACCCACCTGTCTCCCTGCTCCTCCTTCCCCAGGGCTCCCCGCACTGGTCGTGGCTGTGTCTGTGGGGTTCACCAAGGCCCGAGGGTACAGCACCGTGAACTAGTGAGTCGGGGCAGCACGGGGATGGGGGCCCTCCCGGCACCTCCGGGCCCTGCCCCTGCCCTAGAGGGTGACAGCTGGTTGCACCCCCCACCTCACAGATGGAGGTGGCCCCGAGCTGGAGGCCAGGCTCCCCGAGTGGCCACCTCTCCTAGCCAGCTCTGCCCAGCCATGGGCAGAGGGGCCAAGAGAAGCCGAGTCCCCTCCCTCTATCCAGGACAGGCCAGTCAGCCTCTCTGAGCCCCCAAACCTGCACCTGTGGGCTGCAGGGAAGCCCTGGGCAGGGCGGGGCAGGTGGGGGTCTGTTCCTCAGAGGAAGCCACCGCCCTGCAGGATCAGCCGGGCGAGGGCCAGGGACCCTGACTTGCCAGGCTGGGGAGCTTGGGCTCATCCTGGAAGCAGCTTGGCTCCCTGAGGCGGGGGTGGGGGCAGGGGACCCGAGCTCTGCAGGTCTCCCGCTCGCAGGGACGGGGAAGGAGCGGGTGATGAGGGCCCCAAGGAGCCGCTGGCACTGGCTGCGCCCGTTGGGGTCACGGTACAGCCCAGGGCACAGGATGTGGGGGCCCCTGAGCAACTCCCCGTCTAGGGGGGCAATGGACAGGAACAGAGACCCAGTTCCTGGGGGCCCCAGGGGGTGAGTGCCGAGAGCGGTGGGCTCGGGAGGGGAACAGTCTGTTTGCAGATGGCCAGAGAGAAGGCTCAGGGAAAGGAAGCCGGGGGGGGGGGGGGGACAGGGAGGGTGCCCTCCATAGGGTCGAGGCTCCGGGGACCGCCGTGAGGGGTGTCCAGGAAACTTGGGGGAGAGTGGCGCTCCAGACAGAGTGAGAAGTGCGGAAGAGCCGGCCCAGACTCAGCAGAAGCCCAGGTGCTGGGGCCACGCAGCTGCGGCAGGTGGGCAGGCAGAGGACCAGGCCCGACCCAGCCCAGCTTCTGGCGTCATGGCAGGAAGGGGTCTTGGCGGAGAGGGAAGGTGACCAGGGTCGGTCCACCCCTGCTCTGGGGCCCGCTGCTCCACCTGTAGACTGGGGGTTATGGGGCCACCCAGCCCCCCGCCCCAGGGCTCTGAAGCCGGAAAATGAGCGTGAGGTTCCCACCCTGGGCTACACGTCTTCCGCGCTGGCAGCCTCTGCCCCTCGCAGGGTCTCCCCCGTCCCCAGCCTGTGGTGCCCACCCCCCATCACGGGCGGGACCCACACCTGGCCACTGACCAGGCGTCTCCTTCCCCAGCTGCTGGCTGTCCCTGGAGGGAGGACTGCTGTATGCTTTCGTGGGACCGGCCGCCGCTGTGGTGCTGGTATGGACCCCACGGCCCCGGGCTCCAGCCTGGAACCGCAAGTTCTGATCCCCGTCCCCGGGGTGGGGCGTGTCAACAGCCCCCTGACCTGCCTTCGGGGTGCAGCGGTGCAGAGGCCGGGCTGGGACAGCCACCTAAGATTCCTGAGCAAAACTTGCCTGATTCTTGGGGACCAGCTCTGTACCCGCCAGGCCTGTGCACGTTTGCCGAGAGAGGGGGCGGCGGGTGGATGGGCACACCCAGGGGAGCCTCAGAGCCTGGGGCGGGGCGTTCTTCTCCTTGGGTGGGGCCAGGACAAGGGAGCCCCTCCCCTCCCTCGGCCCTCAGTGTTCTTTCTGCTGTCCCCACGTTCTTTTGGTGAGGGATGTGAGAGTGCCAAGTGGCACCAGGGTCATTGTCCCCAGGTTACAGGTGAGCATGGGAGCCAGGACCCAGCTCCTTGGTTCCTGGGAGGCGTGGGCAGAGAGGGGCTTGCCTCCAGGCTGGTCTGCGCAGCCGGTCAGCGGCCAGGGACCATTTCAGGGCAGGCGCCCCCCAGGGGAGGGCTGAGGCAGGAACCTCTTCCCACCCTGTGTCTGTTCTCAGGATGCATCTGGAGGGGAGGGCTGGCCCTGACCCACGGCTGTGGGACCTCTGCCCAGGGGCCCCTGGGGACATGGGGACATGCAAATGAAGGCTGAAGATAGAGTGTGCTGCAGGCAGGTGGCAGCTGGGGTCCTGCCCTCCGCTGGCCCTGCCATGTGACAAAGGAGGTCACCCAGGAAAGTCACCTCCATGCTGTCAGGCTGCGGAGTATTTGATGACCCTGTCTGGGACCTTCTGTTGACGGTGGGAGGCAGGGCCCGGGCACCCACTCAGTGTGGAGTCAGCCTTCCTGGGCCCCTGGGCCCAGGGACCCACATGTCCAAGCCGCAGGGACTCAGCAGAGGCCAAGCTGCCTCCGGGGAGGGTGGGAGCAGGGCAGGGGGCCTTCGTGGGAGGGTCGGAGGGAGAGGCCAAGGAGCTGTGCGAGGGGTGCCCTGGGGACACTTATCTGAGTCCCAGGTGGCAGTTAAGCAGCAGCCTGCGGAGAACCACCTCCCAGGGCGGGGCCAGCCCTGGTGCTGGTGTTCCCGAGCTACAGGCTGTGAAGGGCTCCCGGGCTGAGAAGGAGGGAGGCAGCACCTGGGTGGGAATGAGCTCCCCACAGTGGGTGGGGTTCGAGAGCCTGGGTGGGGCACGCTGGCCTGGAGGTCACTAGAGGTCACTCCCAGGCTCTGAACGGGGCAAGCAAAGTCAGCCCCACTCGGGGGGAGGGCCAGGTTCAGCCCGACCCCAGCCTGACCTCTGGACAAATGGAACCCCGCTTTACACACCATGGCTGGCCACAGTGGAGACGGCAGGCAGGCCACTGGGTTGGCCAGTTGCGCCCACCTGACACCGCCTGTAGGAAGAGGCCCCCCGTCACCCTGTGCGCCTGCACTGGGTCAGCCTGGCCCTTCCCCGTGACCCCTCCGCCTGACAGGGCTCCCAGGTCCTGGTGGAGCCTGCGAGGTGGGGGGTCACGTGGGAGGCTTGGGCTTCAGCGCTGGGCCTTACGGGGGCGGGACGGGTCTCTGGGCACAGAGGACCTCGCCAGACAGCGGGGACAGATGGCGGGGCGCAGCGGTGGGGCCGAGTGCAGGCTACCCACACCCGCCTCTGCCCGGCAGGTGAACATGGCCATCGGGATCCTGGTGTTCAACAAGCTCGTGTCCAAAGACGGCATCACGGACAAGAAGCTGAAGGAGCGGGCAGGGTAGGACCCAGAGCTCACCCCCCACCCCGCCCGGCCCAGGCAGAGGGGTGCCAGGGCCCCCGCTGTGACAGGGCGTGTGTCCCGGGAGGTCCGCAGAGACCCCAGTGCTGCCAGTTCCCCCCTCCCTCCCCTTGGGGTTGGGGGCCCACCCTAGGGCACCGTCAGCACAGGAACAAGGAGTGGTACATGGGCCCGGTGGCCTCCCACCCGAGAAAGTGGCCTGGCCAGGGGCACACGGCCCAGCCGGTGGCGGTTCCGAGTGGCTCGGCCTTGCCCAGCAGTGGGGGGCGTGCTGCCCCTCAGTCCTGCGGGGAACGGGCTCCAGGATGAAGGGGTGCAGGTCACCTCCAGGCCAGCGGCAGGTGGGACCGTCCCCCCTCTGTCCGTCCCCCAGCCAGGCTGGTGTCTGCGTCGGGGTCCCTCCCACCTCGTGCCAGTCTTGCTTGGCCTGTCTGTCTCCCCTCTGTCTGTCCCTCTTCCTGCTCTCCCCAGTGAGCCAGAGTTTCAGGAAACCAGCCCCTTGGGGCCTTGGTGGGTTCTGGTCTTGGGTAGACACCAGCCTGAGGGAGGTCTGTGGCCCTGGATGCCCACAGCGGCTGGGAGCGTGGCCTCGGGTGGGCAGTTCGGGAACCGGACCGACCGGTCTGCGCAGGCCCATCCCCCCGCCTCCCGGACAGCAGGAGGCCCCACGCCCGCAGGCTGCCCAGCCAGTGCCTCGGGGCAGGCCCACCCCGTGCAGGACTCTGTCTGAACCTGCGGCCCCCCTGGAGGCAGGCTCTGTCGTGTCCGCACGTTGCAGCGAGACCACCGAGGCTTGGGCAGGTGGCCCAGGGCTGGAGCCCTAGGTTCCGAGAGCCCAGCCCGTCTAACCACGGCCTGCTCTCCGTGGCCGCTTCCCGCCATGCCCCGGGGGCCGGGCTTGGGAGCACTGGTGGGAGGCAGCCGGCCCCACAGCGTCCCCCGGGCCCCTCACGTGTGCTTAGGGCAGGCCTGCTGGGCCACCGTCCCAGTCACTCTCAGGCAGGGGCTGTGCCGGTCAGACAGGGCACCAGGGACCAGAGAACGAGCAGTGGCCTGGCCCCGAGGGTTTTGCGTCTTTGTGTAAATGTGTGTGGGCGGCCCAGCCCTCCCGAGGCCCAGGCTCTGGTGCGCCGGGTGGGAAGAGGACCCAAGGACGGCTCTCCCTCAGGCCCCATCCGTCCCAGCCCTCAAGACCTTGTCCCCAGTCCCACAGGTCCCCCCTCTGTCTCTGTAGGGTCCCATCCCTACCCCCTCCGGAGCCTCATCTCCCCAAGACCCCTTTCCCACATTCTCCAAGACCCTGTCCCCAACCCCCAGGACCCCGGCCCAGGAGGCTCCGGCTGGACTGCAGTCTGGCCGCCCCCACCTGCCCCCTTGTTCTCCGTGAGAACCTCCTCTGCCCGGTTCCAGCCTCTGCCACTGTCACAGCCGGCCTCCCTGGGCCCCTCCGGCGCGCCCCCGCTCGTGCCCCTGCGGAGCCCTCTCTGAGGTCAGCGCCCCTCCGAAGCCCCAGTAACGCCGTGTCGGTGCCTCTCGGTGCCCGCCCACCTGTGCATCCATCTCCGCTCTCCTCTGAGTCACAAATTTTGCTTGTCTGACGCTTTTGCTACCATTTCCGTCATCCCCGCTGCTCTCCCCAGGGCTCCAGGCAGCCCCCACCCCCAGGGCCTCTCAGGGCCAGAGACCTGAGGGCAGGGAGCCCACCGGGCAGGTGGCTGTGGGCCAGCAGCTCCCCGAGTGTGCTGTGAGCATGAGCGTGTGGGTACAAGTGTGTTCACGTGTGTGTCTGCATGTTGGCCAGTGTGTGCCTGTGGATGTGTGTGTGGCAGGAAGGGCCAGCGTTCTCATCTGGTGTCCCCGGTGCCACCCAGGGCTGTGAGCAGGGCAGGGCTTCGTGGGCCTGGCGTCCCAGGTGGAGGCTGCACCTGGAGGGGGCGTGGCCCTGTCTCCGGCCCACACATCCCTGACCCTGGGACCCTCCTGTGTGTGCTCCCTGGGCTAGACCCTGGGACCCGGGGCTGCAATGCCCCCCGTGGGCAGCGCGTGAGCACGGGTGGGCCGGGTCAGGCTCGGGCTCGTCTGGCTGAGTCCCTGCCCCCTCCTAGGGGAACCTGACTTTGCTAAGGGGACAGGCGAGGTGACTGCCCACAGGCCTGCCCCACCCACTCCTCCCCTGCCTTGATCAGTCAGGGCCTGCGTGGGCTGCCTCTGCAGAGGCTGTGGAGTGAGTTTCAGGTCCCCAAGCTCACTGTCAGGCCTCGGGCCGGGGAGAGATGACTCACAGAGGATGAGGACTGGGTGGGGGTGGCGCTGGCCCAGCCTGGGCTCCGCCTGCTCCAGACCTGGGGTCCAGGCCCAGCCAGAGAAGGCCCAGGTGGAGGTGAGGAGAGACCGCCCCGCCCCACCCTCACGAAGAGGAAGAACCGGGGCGAGAACGGGAGGGGTGAGGGACTGCCATCACCGAGTAGACTCGAATCTCCCTGGGGGAGGCCCCCTTGTCCAGGCTGGTGCCGAGCGCAGGCACAGCAGCGGCGGGAGGGGGGTAGAGGCCAGTCTCGGAGTGAGAAGGGGAGCCTGTGGGGGGGTCCGCCAGGAGACTTCCCCACCCGGGGAAAGGGCCCTGCGCAGGACACGTCCTGTGTGAGGGCAGCGCTGCTGTCTGAGGGGGCCTGGGGGAGACCCCAAGGTAGTTTGAGGTAGGAGGGGAGGAGAATGTCTGTGAGGTCCAGTTCTGGAGCCCCCACTCTGCCTGGGGAGAAGGGGCGGCTTCAGGGTGACCGCTGGCTCTGGCCTAGACCCCCCCCCCCGGCGGGCGGCCGTGGAGTGGTCCCTGAGTTGGGGCAGGCCCTGGGGTTGGGAGTAGGACCAGGGCCTCTGTCCCGGAGGAGAAACTTGGGCCTGGGCTTGGGGACCCTGGTCTTAGAGATCGGCGGCAGGGGGCGGGCAGAGGAGACTGAGGGAGAAGAGGCGGTGAAGGGGGCCCGGGAGCGCAGGGCCTAAGAGGCCAGTGGGCTGCCGCACCCAGTCCCAGAGGTGGGAGGTGAGTATGGGCAGGCGTGTCCCAGCCTTGGCCTCGGGTCCCCTGTGGGTCCTAGCCCACAGGGCAGAGTGGGTAGTCTGGGGGAAGTTTCTGCCCCGGCCGAGGCTCCACAGGTTTGGGGGTCCTTGTCCTGGCTGGACCCTAGCCCTGTGTCCCCAGCTGCTTCCTGGTGGCTCTGCCCTGCGTCCCTGTCTCCGATACGCTGGCCCACCTGCCCTGCTCGTGCTGCGAGGGAGGAGGGAGCCAGTGGCCCGGACAGCACCCCCACCCCTGGGGGTCACCTCAGTGGCCCCAGCAACCCCTCAGAGCCCTCGCGGGCTGGCACTCATCTCTGGGGACAGAGCTCACCCTGGCTGGGTCCTCCGGCTGCTGTGGCCCTGAGAGGCATGACAGTGACCAGGATGGGTCACGGGTCCTAAGCCCCTGCAGGTGCTCTTTCTGTGCCCACGACAGCCCTTTGAAGCAGCTTCGTGTCCCCACTGCACAGTCTGGGAGGTGGGCTCCAAATGGGCGTGAGTGGAGCCTGTGATGTGTCGGGGGGGGGGGGCCCAGACTGCCGAGGGCAGTGACTGGAGAGGGCAGGTGTGCTCCTGGAAGACTGCCTGGAGGAGGCAGCCCCCCTTCACCCGAGATGGGCAGGGGAGGGAACCACCAAGAGGAGGAAGCGCCTGTCAGTCTCTGTTCCTGTCGGTCTCTGCCCGTGTCCTCTGCCTGCCTGGCTGTGTCTGTCCTGTCGCCTCCCTCCCAGACTCTCTCCTCTCCGTCTCCCTCCCTCCCTCTGTCCGGAGCCCAGAAGCCTGGCCAAGCACTCCACCCGGTGGCCATCTTGCTCTCCGGGCCCTGGACCCTGACTAGGGAGGGACCTGAGGGCTCTGTGGGGACCTGGGACCCGGAACTGTAGGAGCTTCCTCCCCTCCCTACAGCCTCCTGGACAGTCCAGAACTTGGGTGCCCCAGAGGGCTCCCTCCCTCACTGGCCTCCCTCACTGGGCACCCACCCCCTGAGTCCCCAGCGCCCCCAGGAGCCTCAGGCTGCTCAGGGAGGGGTGGAGCAGAGGGGAAACATCCCAGGCCCGGAGGGGGGGCGGGGGGGCCCCCCCGGCCCCGGCAGGGAGGCGGGGCTGAGGCCGGGCGGCCCTGACTCGCCCCGTCCGCAGGGCCTCGCTGTGGAGCTCCTGCGTGGTGCTGCCGCTGCTGGCGCTGACCTGGATGTCGGCCGTGCTCGCCGTCACCGACCGCCGCTCCGCCCTCTTCCAGATCCTCTTCGCCGTCTTCGACTCACTCGAGGGCTTCGTCATAGTGATGGTGCACTGCATCCTGCGCAGAGAGGTGGGCGCGCCGGCGCCCCAGGGGTCCCGGGCTGCGGGGGCATCCACTGAGGTAGCCCTGTGCCATGTTCTGGCTCAGACGGGGGTGCAGCCTGGGCCCACAGGAGCCATGGGAGGCCCCTGTTCTGGCATTTTCCGGACCTCTCCAGAGGTAGCCAGGCAAGGCTCTGGCCCAGCTACATCAGGCTGCCACCTGGCAGGAGGCAGGGACCAGGGCCATGTTCCCAGTCGCAGGGAGTCCAGATGTGAAACCTTGTGCATCTTGGCGTGGATGGACTTGGTGCTGCTTCAGGGCCGTGAGGAGAGCAGGAAGGCCAAGTACAGGCTCATGTGGGGGCCACTGGTGGGCAGGGCACCAAGTCCCAGCGCCAGGACATCCACGGGGCTGTGGGGGCGGGAGCGGGCGGACAGATTCCAGGTCCCCTGGAACCTCCTGGAATGCGGCAGAGGCGTGCTTTAAAGCTCACAGATCCGGAAGGATGCGGAGGCCGGGAAGCAGAGCTCAGCCCGGTGCGCAGCCGCAACCAGAGGCTGGGGGCAGCAGGCTCACCCCACGGGGCCCAGACAGCTCTGGAGTGGGGCCCCCTGGGCCCCAAGGGAAGGCCGAGTGGGGCTGCTGATTCTCCGTCCGTTTAGGGGCCAACTTCAGCTCCTGAATGGGCAGCAATGCACCCACTGGACCCCTGCCAGGAGCTTCCCTGTCCAGGGTGGACACAGGCCCCAGGGTGCCTGCGCCATTGAGGACGCGGATGCCGTATTGAGAACGTATCAGGGGAAAGACGGGTACTGACCTTGGTCACCCCACCAGCCGAGGACCCCCCCGCACCAGGCTCATAGCTCCCAAGGAGCTGGTAGCCCCTCTCCAGGGGCTCTGATCTCGGGGAAAGGCACGAGTGCAGACCCAAAGTTTTTGCTGCCAAAGGGGCCCTCGTTAGTCCTGAGGGTCCGCTCCAAAGGACCTGAGGACAGCCTGCAACCAAAAGAGCACAGGCCCCCCAGTGGGCCCCGGAGACAACCCAGAAGGAAAATGTCATGGGACGTGGCCGTGTGGGCACACTCTGGCCCCCATCGGCTCATACCCGTGGTCTGGTGACAGCCCCTTCTGCAGACGGCGGCCACGTACTGCCCAGGCTCTCAGGCCACACTTGTGGCCCTCAGTGGCCCGGCTCCTGTGAGACAGGGACAGCAGGCTGTAGAAAGGGACCTCAGAGGACAGAGAGTGCCCGTGGGAGATATGAGCAGGCGAGCACAGACTGTGGCCTTCTGAGGAGTCCCTGGCCCTAGTGGGTGACCCCCCCCCCGCCCCATGGATGGCGGATGCGGCTGCTCCTCATACAGACCCGTGGCCCCACCCAGGACGCTTGGGGACACCCGGGTGGGCATTGCTCGAGCAGGCGAGGGCCAGGCCCTGGGCGGGCCCAGACAGTCCTCGAAGCGGGGGCCGTGGTGGCAAAGTGCAGGCAGGACACCGGGCGACCCTCCTCAGCCTGATGAGGGGCCTGCAGCACCGTGTTGTGGGGTTCTCGCCACGAGGAGCACAGAGACTCTCAGAAAAGCCGCTGGGCCTCGGTGGACTAGCCTGCCCCCGCCCCCTGCACCACAGCCAGTGCTGTCCTCATGGGCGGGGGTGTCACCAACCACCTGTGCTCTGTCCCCTCAGGTCCAGGATGCTGTGAAGTGCCGAGTGGTCGATCGCCAGGAGGAGGGCAACGGGGACTCGGGGGGCTCCTTCCAGAACGGCCACGCCCAGCTCATGGTAGGGCTCGGAGCAGGGTGCAGGCTGCCTCTGCGCCTGCCAGGCCCCGAGGCCCCGTCACGAGGAACTCTGAGCCCAGTCTGAGGCCGGGACCAGGCTCCCCGGGGCCACGTCCCTGGTCCAGAGTCTGGGGGATGGGCAGGTCGAGTGGCCGAGAGCCTGAGTGGGGCTGGTAGCAGCAGGTGTCTTGGGTCGGACACCACCTCGGTGTCCCCACCCTTGCCTCATCTCCTGCCCTCTCCAGCTGCCCCTCAGGCCTTGCAGCCCCAGGTGCCCCGCCCGCAAGCCCCGCCCGCCCCTGCCACTCGCCCCCAGGTGTGCGCCGAGGGGCCGGCTTCCCTGGGGAGCCCTCCCTGACCCCCCATGGCAGTGCCCGTTCCAGCGCTGGCAGTGCCTCGGTGACCCCTCCCCACTGGCACTCTGAGGCTGCTGCCCACTGGGTGCCCCGGGCACGCAGTGAGGCGGCAGGCGGCAGGCACCCATGGGGTCTTCGGGGTGCCTTGCCACGCCACAGTGGTCGATAGGGCCCCAGGCAGGGCCTCGGCAGATGCCGGTGCCAGCCTGGGGTACGCTGCCGGCGTTCTTCAGGGCAAGGGGGGCCCCAAGGTGGAGGAGGCCAGCTCCTGGGCCCCTGACGCTGCTCCTGGCCTAACCTCCAACCTCGGGCTCTGTGGTCTTCCGGCTAAAGGAACCTCCAGGTTTGAGATGCAGGGCCCGGCTGTTCCCTGGGGCCAGTCGCCCCGGAGGAGGCCACACGCTGACCTGGGGTGGCCGAGCTGGATCCCCAGCTCTGGGCCAGGCCAGAGTGGGTGCTGCATGCAGCAGGGACCACAGCCACGGCTCGTGGTCCCGCCCAGGCCCTGGACATCTGTGTTGCAACCCTGTTCTGCCCCCTTGGCTGGCCAGCCTCCCCCCCCTCAACCCCCAGGCTGTCTCAAGGACTGAAGGGGTGATGTGGAGCAGGTCCCCACAACCCACTGCTCGGCAGTTGGTGGCCTGAACCGCAGGGGGCTCCCCTGTGGGGTCTGTGTGCCCCAGTGGGGGAATGGGAGGGCCCGGACAGGGGTCCTTGAACTGGAGGCCCAGGGAATGGGGCAGGGGAGATGGGCTGGGGAGGAGTGAGCACAGGAGGACAGGAGTGAGCTGCGGTGGGACTGGCTTCCCACTTCCCAGCTAATCCATGAGTGCCTTGTGGAGGGAACATGCTCACGTGTGCCTGCACATGCATGCATCTGCACACACGCAAACGGTGCACAGGCCTGCTTGCATGTGCACACACTTGTGTGTGTATGAAAATGTGCACGTGCATGTGTACACATGTGCACATGCATGCACACAAACAGGCGTGTGTGATCTATGTGCATGTATGGGTGCAATGCACATGCATGCTCGTGTGCACACGTGTGTGTGTGTGCACAGGCGAGAGCATGGAAGGCATGGCTGTCCTTAAGGCGCTCACTTGGTGTGAACACGTCAGCACACGGGCACCTCTGAATGTGTGCAGTGTGCACACACACCAGACACACACAGCACACGCGCCCCTCCCGGGTGCGGCCGCAGCCCCAGCGTGGCCCTTCCCCATCAGCCTTCCCGGCCCGGCCCGCAGCCCGGGGGCCCTCACCTCGCCCCGCTTCTGTCTTGCAGACCGACTTCGAGAAGGATGTGGACCTGGCCTGTAGATCAGGTGAGCGCCTGACAGGTGAGAGCGACGGTGGCCTGGCCCGGGCCCACTGGCTTTTTTTTCCTTTCTTTGTGCATCTGTCTGATCATTTGTCTGTCCTCACCCAGCCCTGCCTCCCCCCAGCCCACCTAGGCGGAGGAGACGCTGTCCTGTGAGCCCTGAGCAGGGAGACGGGGCGGGGGGGGGGGTGCCTCCCAGCCCAGCCACACCTCTGGGGCTGCAGGCAGGGTCCCTGGCGCATGGACCCCTGTGCTGGTGGAGTTCGCAGTCCCGCACAGGGCCTCTGGCCCCACCCTGTCCCCACTGTGCCTCAGTCCCCAACACCATGGACACTGCCAGTCCCCAGCCCCACCCGCCTCCTCACAGGGGCAGTGAGGCTTGGCCGGCTCTGTCCTCCGCTCCGCCTCCCCCTCCCTCGAGGGCTCGTGTTCTGTGTTGCATTCATTCCCCCGCTGTTAGTCCGACTGCCGAGGGGGGCGAGGTGGGTTTCCAACACAGGGCACACCAGTGGGAGTGGGAGGAAGCAGGTAGAAGGACTCACTGCTGAGCTTCCTGGAAGCAAGGGCAGGAAGGGAATTAATTGCCCAATAAAAGGAAGCTCCTCCGGGATCAGTGCTCTATGAGCCAAGGGTCTGTGGGAATGACAGGCAGTCCTTCGAGGGCACCGCCTCCCTCTAGTCTGTCAGGTATTTGGGGAAAACTTCTGTACGGACAACCCAGGGATTAGCTGGGACAGCCCCGGGTGGGGAGTGTCAGCTGCTGCCAGGTAGACCCAGGAGGGCTTCCTGGAGGAGGTGATCTGTAGGTTGGCATGAATGGGAGCTGGAGCCACCCCCATCTTAGTCTCAAGCTATCTGACCAGTCTCCCTGGGAGGCAGCCTCAAGGCTTGGGGGCTCTGGGGGACTTGGCCCCACCTTGTGTGGGTGGGGTGGCCTCTCCGCCCGTATTTCCTTCCTCATTGGGAAGGTGGCCCAGCCTGGCCCATACCTCAGGAACAAGAAATGGCTGGTGGCTGTGGGTCTGGGGACAGCTGGGAGGGAGTTTCACAGACACAACCAAGCTCCAGGTGTGGGGAGCGGATGCCGCGTGGGCAGGCACCGGGTGGGCAGGCATCCAGCCAGGGGCCGGGCCCCGCACGCAGCCCGACTGCTGCCCAGTGCATGGGAGGCGCCGGGCCAGGTCCACGGGGCCTGACGCTCAGTCCGTGTGGGCAGAGAGGCCACAAGTGTGGGGCCCTTCAGCCTGGTTTGGGGACAGGTTTAGCAGAGACGGTCCCGTCGGACCCCACGGAGCGGAGCTAAGAGCTGTGAGCAAGGGAGCAGGGTGTTGGTGGCCCGCGTGTGGGGGGAGGCTGGGGGGGGGGCTGCCTAAGAGGCTCCGGCCCGTAGCGGGCGAGTGACCAGCAGCCTGGGCAGTTGGGTGGCTGTGCGCTGGCGAGACAGGACGCAGGGAGTGGCCGACGGTCGCCGGTCCCGGGGCCGGGCGGAGGCGCGGTGCGGGAGCCGGGCTGCCTGGGTTCTCCGAGGTCCTGCCCAGGTCAGATGCCCGGTGAGTAGCGCGGTGCTGATGCCCAGGTCAGAGGTCAGCGCAGCCCGGTCCCACCGTGGCTGAACAGGAGAGACCGAGGCTGGGCCCCAGAAGCGGGCCGTCCTCCCCACGTCAAGAAGCTGTGTCCTCGAACTTCCAGGCAGCGTGGGTCACCTCGGGGCCATCAGAGGCCACCCAGCTTCTGGAAGGGCAGTGTGTGGGCGGTGGTCATCTGTCCTCTGGTGTGGCACCCTGTGTCCCAGCCCCGTGTGAAAGCGCAAAGGGACCCCGGGGGCTGCAGTGCCTCACGTGGGGGGTGCATCCAGCGGGGCCCTGGCCAGGCCGCTCTGACCCCTCCCCTGTCCCTCAGTGCTGAACAAGGACATCGCGGCCTGCCGCACGGCCACCATCACCGGCACGCTCAAGCGGCCGTCCCTGCCCGAGGAGGAGAAGCTGAAGCTGGCCCACGCCAAGGTGCCGCCCCCCAACTTCAACAGCCTGCCAGCCAGTGTGTCCAAGCTGCACACGCACGGCTCCCCCCGCTGCCCGGGCGGCCCCCTGCCCGACTTCCCCAACCACTCGCTGACCCTCAAGAAGAGCCGCGCTCCCAAGTCCTCCTTCGTGGGTGACGGGGACATCTTCAAGAAGCTGGACTCGGAGCTGAGCCGGGCCCAGGAGAAGGCCTTGGACACGAGCTACGTGATCCTCCCCACGGCCACGGCCACACTGCGGCCCAAACCCCAGGAGGAGCCCAAGTACAGCATCCACATCGACCAGATGCCCCAGACGCGCCTCATCCACCTCAACATGGCGCCTGACGCTGGGCCCCCCGCCCGCAGCCCGCCCTCCCGCCAGCCCCCGGAGGCGCCCCCCACCCAGCCCCCACCACCCCCTCCTCCGCCACCCCCCCAGCAGCCTCTGCCCCCACCGCCCACCCTGGAGCCGGCGCCCCCCAGCCTGGGGGAGCCCAGGGAGCCTGCCGCCCACCCGGGGCCCAGCACGGGGACTGGGACCAAGAACGAGAATGTCTCCACCTTGTCCGTGAGCTCCCTGGAGGTGAGGGCCGCCCAGGGTGGGGGGCCAGGGTCCCTAGCTGGCAAAGGAAAGGCACACACCCCAGGCGCCTCAGATTTGGGCTGGCAGCCAGCGTCAGGCAGCACCCCACCTCACTGGCTGAGAGTCCCATCGGCCTGGCTTAGGACCAAGGTGTCCTGGCTCCGCCCAGAGGGAGTGCCAGCTGCTGTCCCCACTCGGCCTCAACCCTGCTGGTCTCTCAGGGCGTGGTCCCAGGAGGGTGGTCTGGCCCATTGCAAGTGGCTCAAGGACCCCCACTGCACTTGAACCTGCTGGGGCTGAGCCCCTCCCTTCTGTAGTTGGGTGGTCACTCTTTAGACCTGAAACCTGGAGTTGAAGCCCACGCTCTGCTCAGCCTGCAAGACGTGAAACTCAGAGACTGGAGGGGTGGGGGCGGCCAGGCCCAGCACCCCAAGGGCAGGTATGGGGTGCTGGGGTTCCTGCTACTCCACCTTTAGGCAAGGAGAGGCCAGGACTTGTGGTCAGGGAGGTTTTAGGGGCTGGTTACAAGTGCACAAACTCCTCTCCCCACAGAGGCGGAAGTCGCGGTATGCAGAGCTGGACTTCGAGGTGGGTCCGGGGCCCCTTCTGCCAACGCCTGGGGCCAGGTGTGTTCTGAGCCTCTGGCCAGGCGGCTCAGGCAGGCCCAGTAGGCCAGGCAAGGCCTGGGGGGGAGGATCCTGCCCTGACCTGGGAGGCCTGGCCCCCAGGGGCCAGCCCACAGGCCGGCAGAGGACAGGTCAGGGCAGCCCCCTGCAGCTCAGGACTCCCACCCGCCCCTCCTCCCCTGCAGAAAATCATGCACACACGGAAGCGGCACCAGGACATGTTCCAGGACCTGAACCGGAAGCTGCAGCACGCGGAGAAGGACAAGGAGGTGCTGGGTCCGGAGAGCAAGGTCTGGGGCCGGGGCAGGGCCTGGGGGCATGGGGCGGGGCCTGGGGGCCGGGGCGGGGCCTGCGGGCATGGGGCGGGGCCTGGGGGCTGGGGCGGGGCCTGGGGGCCTGGGGCGGGGCGGCCGGGGAAGCGCCCTGAGGTGAGACTGCCTCTCCCAGCCGTCCTGAGGCCCTGTCCATTCATCTCTTTATTCCTCCAGCCTTGCAGGGCTCCTGGAAGGTTTGGGGCCCATCTGGAAGGGTAGGGAAGCACGTGGGGGAGGGTAGCCTGGGGCCTCCAGCTGCCCTTCCCTGCAGGTCACCCCAGACCCTGACCCACTGGCGGGCCGCAGCCCTGGTGCAGTCCGGGAGGAGCTCTGCACCTGCTGCCCCACTGTGCTGGGCCTCCCGTGCCCTGCCTGTACCTCTCAGGTCTGACTCCCCTCTTCATTCTTTTCTCCATCCCTGTCCGTCCCCCTCTCCGGCCGCCCCGCCCACTGGCCTGCAGCCGGAAAAGCAGCAGACACCCAACAAGCGGCCCTGGGAGAGCCTCCGGAAAGCCCACGGGCCGCCCGCGTGGGTGAAGAAGGAGCTGGAGCCGCTGCCCCCGTCGCCCCTGGAGCTGCGGAGCTCGGAGTGGGAGAAGTCGGGTGCCACCATCCCGCTGGTGGCCCAGGACATCACGGACCTCCAGACCGAGGTCTGAGCCGGTGGGCGGTGGCCACACACTGGGCACGGAGCAGGGGTGCTGCTCCGCCCGCTCCTGCTGCAGGGTGGGCGCCCGCACACTCGAGGGCGGTGGGCCCGGCCCACGCCCCGGCCTCAGGGCACTCGGACGGCGGCCAGGCGGAGGCCCGCAGTGCTGGGACCAGAGCCAGACGGGACAGGACGCGGCAGCCCCAGCGGCACGGGGCTCCAGAGGCTGGACGGAGCCTCGGACTCTGCCCTCCTCGGACCCAGCCCCGGCGGTTGGACGGGCGGCGGTGGACAGTGGCCAGGCGGGGTGCAGCCAGCACCCTCAGGACGCCCGCCCGAGCCGCTGCAACAGAGGACCAGCCTGCTTGGCCCGGCCGGCCCGGCCCCGTTTTTTAGACCCACTTCCTCGGAAAGCAGCCAGCCCCCACCCGCCCGGGCCCTGGCCGCCTCGACCCAGGCAGGGGCACAGCCCTCGCCCCGCCTGCCCTCAGTGGCAGGCCCAGAGGCCCACTCCGGGACGAAGCAGGGGTGGGGAATCTATTTTTTCTCTCCTTTTCTTTTCTTCAATAAAAAGAATTAAAAACCCACACCTGTTCTCTGAGGCTCCCTCTGGCCAGCGTGCAGGCCTGGGCGGCCTGGGCCCTGCGGCTGAGGCTGAGGCTGGACTCTGCCCACCAGCCTCGCTCCCTCCACCAGGCAGAGAGGCTGGGGAGGCCTGGTTGGCACCTGGGTTTCACCGTTCCCTGTGCCCTGCTTGGGCGTCAGGGACCTGCCAAGAGGGCCGTGGCCCCGAGCAGCCGCTCATCTCCGGGGGTGCTGGGCAGGGACCTGACAGGGAGCCCATCAGCCTGGACCGCCTCCTCTCCTCAGACCTCGGGACTCATGGGGCAGGCATTTGTCGTCCCTGGGGCCTGAGTCATCACGGGAGGGACACCCTGGGACAATGACGAAGGCGGAGTGAAAGACTCGGGGGAAGGAGGGAGCCGGGGTGCCCCCTTTCCTGCTGGCTGGGTGAGGGGGCGCCATCTCCTCCAGGACCTCAGCATCCCCTGTCCCACCCACGTACCCCTCTGTCCTGGGGCAGGGCCAGGGCAGGCTAGACTTGGGACCATATGCTGGGGTCCCGGGACTCCACTGTCAAAGGGGCAGGTGTGAGGGACGAAGGTGGACACCCACAGCTGCCCCACACATCTAGGGCAGGGTGTGCACCAGGCCCCCTTCCTGGTCCGCCCAGGCCTTTGCCCCATCCCAGCTCGGTTCACACTGTGTGGCCCCCATGCACTTTCCGAGGAGGGCACCCTGGGAGCAGAAATGCTTGCTAGAAATGCTTGCTGGTCCTGCCACTTCTCCGTGTTTCCAGCAGGGGGCAGCCTGCGCCTCCACAGGGAGCCCAGCTGGGAAGCTGAGCAGGATGGGGATGGTTGGCCAGGCCCTGCTCCAGCAGGGCCCCTGCACCCCACGGGGGTGCCCCAAGGCCTCAGGAAGTCTGAGACAGTGAACAGAGGCTCCAGCTCGGAGAGGGGGTGTGCAGGTAGGCCGTTTGGGGGTGTGCAGTGCCTGGAAGATAATGGGCCCTACGCCATGTCACTGAAAATGAAAACAATGTGGACAAGCTGAAAGGGGGGCTGCCTGGCCTGGGGTTCCCACGGTGACCTGCCCATCACTCGTCACTCCCCATCCAGGGTTCACCTTGTGACACCCCAACCCGGGGTTGTCGCCAGCAGGTGCAGCTGGGGTGGGCTGGGCGCTGCCTCCTGAGCAGAGTGGCCGCAGTGACTGTGGGCAACCACCCGTGTGAGCGGACAGCAGAACGGGCAGGGAGTGCGGCGCCGCGGAAGCCGGGAGGAGCCGGTGCAGAGCCCTGCGGCCGCAGCAGGGGGCGCTCAGAGACCGTGAAAGCGAGGGCGAGGGTGGGGCTGGGCGGTCCCCCTCTCCCCCCGCCTCCACGAAGGCGGCAGAGCAGAGAGCTGGAGCAACTGGCCTCAAGCTTGGCGGGGCTGAGGGGTTCCGGTGCGTCTGAGTCACTGTGTACCCCCTCCCCGCCCCCTGTCTCACACCCCCACGGTGCTAGCTCTCTGCCCAGGCGGTGCAGGCTTCCCCATCCCCCTGCCCTTACCGCAGCCAGACTTCAGCAGGGGTGGCCCCTGGCACAGAGTCTGCCAGCTCCCGGACCTCCCCTGTCCTGCTCACGCCGAGCTCCTGCTGCAACATAAAAACTGAAAAAAACAAAACAAAAACCCAACCCAAACAAGCTAGACCCAAGCGACACTGTCTGCATGTAAGGGAAGTGACTGGGACTGGGAACCCCTGGTGTCGGGGCCCAGTGTGTGACCAGGGTCAGAGCTGGTAGCGTGACCAGCGCCCGGTTGGCCTGAGACCAGACTTCAGTGTCCCCGCGTCTGTCTCCCCCTCGGAGAAGTCTGTGCCTTTCCGGCAGAGACCTGGTTCCTCATTCTGTCTGGGCCCCAGGCTCACGTCAGTGCCGAGCTCCCTGACCACCCCATGCAGTGACTAGTTGCAGAAATGGCTGTCCCCTCCCTGGCCACCCGTGTGGCCCCACAAGACCTGTCAGCACCCTGAGCCCCGCCCGCGTGTGCCCCACACCACCTCCCGGCACCCCTGTTCCCAGCAGTGCACCGGCGGGGGCGGGGGGGGTGCTGTACGGTGCCCAGAGCTGTGGAGGGACCCTCTGCCCTCCCCTCCCCCAAAGCCCCTCCCTTCGAGAGCTGGCCAGGCCACCAGAGAGATCTTCCTGGACCTGCGTCCCCTTAATTGCCTTGACATCTTTGTACAAGTCATAGGCTGCCATCTCCTTGGCAACCTGTGACCAACAAAGCTAAGACCACCTTCTACGGCCACCAGCAGCGGCGGCAGTGCCGTGCCCTGGGAGAGGCGCGGGCAGAGGGTGGTGCCGGCCACCATGCAGGGCAGGAAGGTGTCTCCAGAGGTAGTGGTGACAGTTTTGTGGATGGAGCTGAAGCTAGAGATATCGGTGATGAAGATGGTGGTGACAATGATGATGGCAGTGGGGGTGGTGACAGAGCTGGACATGGGGGTGTGGGCCTGGTGGGGAGTGGTTTCAGCACCAGGACGCCCACCACAGCAGCCACCAGGATCTGCATCGCTGGTGGGGGTGTCCTGGGCTGGAAATGGGGCTCCCCCCAGATCAGCATCTGGTCCCTCCTGCCCACGGTGGGGGGGGGCGCTGGAGGATGGTTGGATAGGTAGACGGACGGATGGATGGACGGATGGATGGAAGGGAAGGCGCAGGCAGATGATGACCTGTGTCCCAGCCCCCTGGCGGTGCTCACAGGAGGGAGCCTTCTGTCAGTACCCACAGTCCTTGAGATCCGGAGCAGCTCCTCCTCACCTGGCTGCCATCTGCTCACCCCCTTGTCGCTGACTCAAACAGTGCCGGGCGGGAGGCCCAGGAATTCCCCGGCCACCAGAGGGGCCCCACCTCCCGGCAGGCAGAGGCTCTTCCCGGGAAAACCTTCACACCTGCTGGCTGACCTGCCACAGCCGCTCCCGGTCCACCCAGCAGCCTGGCCTCCCTCCTGGGGCGGCCGAGAGGTGCCTGACCCGTCAGCAGGCTCCATTCTCTGCGCTCCACCCGAGGGTGGACCCCTCCCCTATCGCTGACCATTGGCCGCTCTGTCTCCCTGCCAGGGGACACCCCCAGCCCTGCCGGCTCCTCCTGGACAGACCCTCCAGGCTCCCATTGCCTCCCCAGGCCCTGCTTCCCACAGAGGCTTGTCCACAGAGAGTGGTAGATCCAGTGTGTTTTGTGCTCCAGGACATGTTCCAGAACCTTCCGTTGCTGGCAGTGCCCTTCCCAGCCCGACCCTCCCCAGCCCCAGCTCACAGTGACCTCCTGAAACCAGAGCTGTGCCTGGGGCCCTGTCCTGGCCACCTTCTCCTCGGCCACCTGCCTGCCCTGGGAGGTGGTGGTGCAGCCCTTCCTGACAGGTGAAGCCTGGGCCTGGCCACCCTCCTCCCGCCAGCGTCCTGGCTGGAGGCATGGCTCTGAGGAGCGCGCCAAGGCCCTGCCCGGAGCTGCCCCCCGACTGGGGCTCAGTTTGCCCCTGTGGGAGCAGGCCGGGGCCAGTGGTCTGTGACCCCGCATTTCTCCAGGTGTGGGGAGCAGTGGGCTCCCCAAGCACTTCTTCAGGCCCCAAAAATAACCAGGAGGGCGGGCCTCTGGGAACAGTGGGTGAACCTGCCAGTCACTGCCCCGGAACTGGTTCCAAATAAGGCTTGGGCAGGCCCGAGAAAGCGAGGTGAGCTCGGAGAAGAGGAGGAGCCAGCCCCTCTGGCTCCCTCCATCGGCCCCCCAGTGGCCGCAGAGCCGCCTGTCCCAGGGTGTCCTGCCCCCAGAGGGCCCTGGGCCTGGGGCAGGGCAGGGCCTGGTAAGTCAGGCTCAGGCTGGGGGCCCAGAGCCCCCCGGGGGACAGTGGGGCTCAGACAAAGAGCCTCTGTGGCCCCAGAATTATGGAGCCTAAGACTCACTAGTCTAGAAACTTGGATGAACATGAGGCACCTTAGGGTAAGTTCAGACCCTTCCCAGACCCCAGGGACATGGGGCAGGGCCGGCCCAGGGGGGCAGGGTGGGCTTCCTGCATGCCCTCTCCTGCTCCCCAAGCCTGGCCTCCCAGGGAGCAGGGACCCTCACTGGGGGCGGGGCCAGCCCTCAGGAAGGCGGAGGAGGTGTTGCTGGGCTCCATATGGTCCTTGGGAACACCGTATGCACCGTCTCCCGGGATGGGGTCGGGAGGCGGAGGCAGCACCCGTTCCTCCCTCCTCTCCATCACCAGCACTTCCTTGAAAGGCAGATGGTGGGTGGGGGCGGCCTGGAAGCTGGGTTCCTGGGACAGCCGGGCTGCCTGTGACCTCCGGGGACCCTGTGCCCTCACTGGCTTCCTCCTCCACCAGCCTGAATCCTACCTCTGCCCTCCCAGACCATCTCCTGCCTCAGGAACCCCGTCCTCGGACGGGGAGCAGCTGGCAGGCTGTGGGACGGGTGTGGGCCTGGGAAGCCAGGTCAGGAAAGACGAAGGGTGGGCAGAGCTGTGGGCGGCTTCGCTGGTGGGGAGCGGAGACCGACCTGGCGGTGTCACCCTGAGAGCTGGCAGCCAACGGAGCAGGGACGTGCCCTCTGCCCCCCCGCCCCCCCCCCCGGCTTCCTGGGGGAGGGGACTGTGCTGAGCCTGGAGGTGAGCACCCAGGTGGGCTGCCTGGGTGCGTGCCCAGCTGAAGCAGAGGACAACGGCACCGGCAGGACGCCTGTGGGGGCCTCCCGCTGGCTGGAGGAGGGGGCTCCACTCTCAGCCCCCACCTTGAGGAAAGGCGGGCAGTTCTGGGGCCCAGAGAGGGCTCTGGCCCACCGTAGGTCACCGGCAAGTGCGCAGGAGGGAGGGCACAACACAATTTTCCACAATGCACCGCATTTTCTCTTGCGACTACCTCATTTCTCCCCTCACACGGGGAACAGGAGCTTAGAATCACCCCATCTCGCCAGCGAGGTGGCTCTTTCCGCTGGC